CTAGGTCTGTCTCTGCTCCCAGAGTCTGACTGTGTGTGGGCAAAGCAGGTAAGTTTATGTTACTGGCACCGTATCTCCTTCCCTCTTTCTTTGTAACAGGCAAATGACAATCCTGTCTTCAGGTCATTTCACTAGGTGGTGCACAATTTGCACGCCAGACTGTGATGGCCCCATGTTCCAACATGGATGTCAGGCCCAAAACCAAGAATAAACTTTTCCCAAGTTGAGTTCTTTATTGCTTTCAAACCTACAGGCAAAATCTTGCCAGACTGGGGAGTCTACTACCTGTATCTGCAATATACTCTGAGAACTATTAGGGAGGGGCTGTCTTCACCCTATTTCTCTCATATAAAGCATCCGGAGTGAGATGCCTCTTACTCCTCTGCAATGCCCCCCTCCCTCCTGGGAATCCACCTCCTTACGACATTCCCTCTCATCAGCACACTGAATGGGATTTAACAGAATGCCAGAGTGACTTACAGTGATCGGTAGGCTTTGAGTGTTCAGTGGTGTGTTCAGGATGAGCTTAGCAGTCCCATCGCTCAAAGTGGTTCCCTCAGAATGAATGGCCTCTGATACCACTGGTACATTGGCAGCTGGTGAGCCATCAGGGTTGGTAACATACACCTAAAGCAATCCAGAAGAGGTGAATCAGCATGGAACAAGGCAGCTTCCTCTGAATCTAAATCAGTTTATTCACTTATTTATTAATCATTAAGAAGAATTATATGGCTGCCCAATTCACGTAGTGATTCCAGGTGGCTTACAAATTAATTTAAGGCTTTTTGTCACTAAATTACATAACTTTTATGCAGATACATTACAGCAAAACATCCAGTGTATAAATACCAATCAATCAATCAATCAATCTACAGTGGCAGCGTCAACCCCGAGATAATCTGAAGCCTCCACATGCATCTTGAACAAGCAAGTCTAGACAGCTCTTCAGAGGCCCAATAAGGGGAGAAAGACATTGCTAAGGTGGCTCTTCCTACAAAATAGGAGACTTCGATTTCTATTACCGTCAGTTCATATGGCATTCCTGGCTTGAAATATTTGGGGGTTTTTGTGAAGTAGATCTGATAGGGAGATGTCACAATATGAATGTCGCTTTGCTCAGTCACTACCATATCACTGCCTGCAAAAAAAAAGAAGGAATGCAACTTAAAATAGGAAATCAAACTGAGAAAGGCAAGAGAAAAATCCTGCAAATATTTTGAAGTAGCTAGTTTCAAACCTAATAAACCCAATACTTTCACAGTTTGCAAATTGTCTCTCAACTTCTTCTATCTTCGTATCCCTTTCTTTTTATAGAAAACAACGTTGCATCATGTTACATGCTGATTTTAATTTATTATCATGTCATGTAAATGGTTTTAAGAAGAGAAAATAATGTGGCAAATGATCATTTATAAACAGAAAATTGGCATATTAAAATTTCAGAGGATGTGGAGTGGGAATGTATTAATATTTTTTTTTATTTTGTGGCTTTGTGACTAGACATACTGTTTCCCGTAAAATAGCAATAGCACTTAGACTTATATGCTTCAAAAACAAAGCCTGGATGTAATTTCACATAATATTATAGATTTAAAACTGCTTGAATAAAATTGACCAAAAAAATTGAAATTTGAAATTGAAATTTGACAAAAGTGATGTGAAATATTAGCACTGTAACTTTCTCCAATTATGCCCCTCATAGAAATTCAATGTTTTTCAGAGATTTTAAAGCACTTCAAGGAGATGAAGAAATGAGTATTTATATAGGACTGATTTAGAAATGGAGAAACAATTTCTGATATAAGGAAAAGGCAGAGATGCTTCAGGACTAAATATGTAAAGGCTCTATCATTTGTTAAAAATGAAAAAAATAAAGAAAATAACTATACCTCCTGACTGACTTTGAAACAATAATTTCTGAACTAAAGGAAAATACCAAAGAATCATGTCAAAAATTCATACGATATCATTCAAGAGTTCCAGAATGCAGTAAACTTTTATAGGAATAAGAACTTGGAAACAATACTGAGAATATGAAATGGAAACGGAGGAAGAAACCTTTACCTTACTGTGGAAGGATTATAAAAAATTATTCATATTGCATTCCAATTTTTAGCAAACATTTGAGGACAGTATCTAATAATGATACAAAATGACATATCTGATAGAATTGCCCAAAATCCAAAATTTTGATCAAGTTTTATGGAATAAGTAAGAACTGCTACACCACTTGCTATAGCAAGTAAGTGTTTTATTGGTGTTTCAAGAAGACAATAAAAATATTAGAAACAAAGACAAGATCAAATTGATACTGGTGTCAGGAAGCATATGGATAGCCCCAAAAGAGAAGGATATTAATATTCCAAATTTAGCCCTAACACTCCAAATGATTAGAAACAGTTTTAATGGAAAAAACTTATAGATACAGTATATACAGGACAACTTTTTAGATAGCACATCCCTTTTAATCTAATTTGGAAAGTTTTGATTCACTTTACTAAACATTTAAAGTCAGATAAGAGACATTTACCCACAAAAATATTGTGGATTTTGTGGGATAAAAGTGAATAATCATTGTGAAAGAGGAGGATTTAAAAATCAAGTCACAAATCAATGATGTATTCTAGTGATGGTTTGGTTTCTTTTATTTAGTTATTTTCAGTCCCTGGTATTTAAAATTGTAGTCTGTTAATTTTTAAAAGTGTAATATTTTTGTTTTCAAAGAAACAATTTACCCTTCTCTTCTCCCACCCCTGCTCACCTGATTCTGTCATGACTGTTACAGATGCATATAGAGTATGCCCAACAAGCTGATTGAGATTTTGAAATCGAGAACGTAGTGTATCTCTTTTTAGTATTGCTTCCCCATCTCCATCAATAATCTGAAAATAAATGAAAAATCAGTAAAAATAAGGAAGGAAATCAAGTGGTCTGCCACAATGTAGAATAAGGAAGATGATGGATGGAGATATGCAAACTCTGTGGCCAAAGCAGCAAGGGGTAAAGTATGTTTTAAGTCCAGAACATCCAGATAACATCCAGAAGAAACTCAGGCACATGCTCCTTTATTCACTGAATTATCAGGAGAAAAAAATATCGCACAACCAGGCTTGCAAAATTCTATTACGGCCAACCTCCATAATGGTAGTTTAGCCTTCTAGTGGAATTGTTCTACCTAGTAGATCTGACACACAAACCCACAAGAACACTCCAATATGCAAACACCCCTGTTACATTTTACCGGAATTCTCGTGAGTGAGTCCGGAATACTCTTTTTAGCATCATCTATTTTCACTCCAAAGAGGACAAAGGCCACACCTTCCACTTTCTTTCCATACAAATACCTGTTACGACATAATGAAAGTAAAGGTCCAATTATACAACTTTGCTTTTCCTACTTATCTTCTTTGACACAAAAGGAATCAGTGAGGGCGTTAACCTATTTCTCACAGCTCCTTATTTTCTCAACTCTATTCATTCAGGCATCTTTCTCCAAGCCTTTGTCACTTCTGGTGCTGAAGGTGGACGGGAGAAAATTTGAGAGCAGGGAGGAGGATGCTAAGTTCAGTTTCTTTATCCTTCTGCCCATTTTATTTTCTGATTTCTAAATTTCACATTTCTGTCCATTCCAACACTCAAGGTGGCTTTCAAAAATAAAAAGTATGGAGTAGACAACATACCACAATTAAAGCCTTAATACAATTGAAATCAATCATTAAAATAACTAAGAGTTTGCTAAAAGGAACATATTTGTAATTTCCTAAATAATGGGGAAATGGGATTAGGGCAGGGGTGGGCTGCTATCGGTTCACACCAGTTCGGGTGAACCAGTTGTTAATTTTATGGCCAGTTTGGCGAACCAGCAAATCCCACCCCTGCCTGGCCCCTCCCGCCCCACCACACCTCTCTCAGGAGTCCTCACGTGGCCCGTTTTGGATCGCAGGTAAGTGCAGGGCCTGTGCAAAGGTTCAGGGAAGGTCAAAAGCAGGCCTCGCAGAAGTTATGGAAGGCCAGAAATAGGCCCATTTCTGGCCTCCAGAGCGCCTCTGGAGCCTGGGGAGGCTGTTTTTGCCCTCCCGGAGGCTCAAGGAAAGCCTCTGGAGCCCCGGGAGGGTGAGAAAATTCAGTTTAGTACAGGGGTGGGCTTCAAAATGTTAGCAATGGGTTCTCTGCCCAGTTGCTGGGTGGGTGTGGCCATGGTCGGCGTTGCCTAGTCAGCCAAGTGGTAGGGGTGGCGTTTTTGCCCTCCCCGGACTCCAGAGGCTTTCCTCGAGCCTCTGGGAGGGCGAAAATGGCCTCCCTGGGCTCCTGAGGCTCTCTGGAAGCCAGAAACTGGCCCATTTGCGGCTTTCCCGAACTTCCCGGAGGCCCGTTTTTCACCCTCCCCAAGGCTCCACATGCACCCTGCACTTACCTGCATCCAAAACAGGCCGCGTGGGGACTCCTGGGTGGGGAGGGGAGGGATGGGTGGGGCCAGCCAGGAGTGGGATTTGGGGGTTCTCTGAACTGCACAGGATCTTAGCTAGGGGCTCTCCCAAACCCCTGAGAACTCCCAGCAGCCCACCCTTGGTTTAGTATCATAAGCAGTCAGACTAATAAAGCTAAACAAAGTCTAAAGACTATTTTGCAATATTATAGCTATTCTATTTGTTAATAAATTTCAAGTAAATATGTTCAGATCAGGACTAGTCACCAAATCATATTTTACTGAATATTATGACCCAAAGAATAACCATTTTCACGCAGATGTTCCCTTTAGCTACTCATAGTTGTAAAGAAGCATACCTTGCGGTGATAAGACACGTGGAAATTTTTATTGCCATCAATGTAAAGAAACTTATCTGATGGTTGCAGACGGACTTCAAAGCTTGGTAACACTACAGAAAAAGAAACAGGTAAAAGGGTAGAACTCTTAGCACTGACAGAAGATGTATTTATTTAATTTTATTTAGTATATTTTATTATTTATTTATTTATATCCTACCTTTATTATTTTTACAAATAACCCAAGGACATATCTTTCTCTTCCCATTTTCCCCACAACAACAACCCTGTGAAGTGGATTGAGTTGAGAGAGAGTGACTGGCTAAGATCACCCACCTGGCTTTCATGGCTAAGACAGTAGTAGAACTCACCGTCCCCCAGTTTCTAGCCTGGTACCTTAACCACTACACCAAATTGGCTCTCACAACTTTCCAGGAGAGATCATAGCAGCCATTTCCACTTTTACAAATGACAGGAAAAGGTTTTTAGAGATAAAATCGAAAGGGATAAAACCCAGGATCAGAAAATGGATTTGTTGAACAGAAATGATCTTTCTTCTTACCATATTCTCTGACATCAAAATATGCAGTATAGCTCTCTTCTGGTGAATGTTCATATTTGGCCACAGCCTTCCATGTCCCAAAACTATAGAAAGAAAATGAAGAGCTTTTTCATTGCTTTGGCTTTACAATCAATTTATGACAATAGAGAATAAAGAATAACAGAGTTAGAAGGGACTTTGAAAGTCTTCTAATCCAACTCTCTGTTCAAGCGGAAGACCCTATACCACAGGTATCAAACTCATGTCATCACGGCGGCATCACGTGACGTATCGGGAATTTTTTCCCCTTCGCTAAACCAGGCGGCGACGTGGCCAGCATGGGACACATCCGGCCCACAGGCTGTGAGTTTCACAGCCCTGCCCTATACCATTCCAGACAAACTGTTGTCCAAACTCTTCTTGAAAACCTTCAGTGTTGAAGCATCCATAACATCTGAAGGCAAGGCAATGATATGAGCAAGGGATCCAAGGTCACTTCTTGATATTAATAGGATTATGGAGAAAGTGTAAAAGAGGAAGAAAATGCCTGATTCAGAACTCTTCAGACACACGTTTGTGGAAGCTGAAATGTGAGTCTTACTTCTGCATTAAATTTCCTTTTACTCACTGAGCTTAAATGGTGGTGATGATATTGTATCTATTATTTTGTCCACTCAACTTCACAGAATTGCCATACAAATAACATTACAGTCCCACCTGTCCTGCTCCAAGCTCTCCAAAAAACAAGAGAAAATAGAAATGTGATGGACAAATGCAAAATATCAAATCTGAATTTTTCTTACTTTAATAATCAATCTGAAAAGCAAGCTAAAAGGGAGCAAACAATACAACTTTATTCTTTAACCAGTCTTTAATAGCTGAACTTTTTTTTTCCTATCAAAGTTTCACCTTGGTTTCAAAACAGGTTGCCTTATGACAATATCCATGTTAGATTACCTGACAAGCTCTGGTAAATTGTAAGGCCGGATCAAGACTGAAGATGGATTGACTGGATTAGAATTGACAACAACGCCTTCTGGAGTCTGGGACAAGGAAATAAAATACAGGTGTGTTGAAAACATATAGAATGTTGCATGTTATTTCCTATGCATTCTATAAGATTGAAATCCATCTGGAACATTAGATTTTACAAGTGGTCGCCAACTGGTGGGCCACGGAAAATTTTTGGTGGGACGCAGAAGAAATGGCCCCTGAAAGCAATTAATCTGGGCCGCGCAGTTCTCGCGCCTCCCAGCTCTTTGAGGGACCCGGAGTCAAGTACCTGAGATGTACGCACCAAACAACTCCCACACATGGCGGGCGGCGGCAACAGTCCCCTCTCCCAGCACCCACTGTTAGCTCTCCTCATTAGTTCTCTAGTTTTGAATTGCTCCCACCTCTTTCTTTCCTTCTTCCTCCCACCCGTGCCCACGTGCAGGCAGCTAAGGAAAAGGAGATGAAGCTGTGCGCAGCTCTCGGCTCTTCCAGCCCTCACTGCCTTTCCCAACATCGAAGCCTCAGAGATGCACGCAAAGCCACCACAGCGGTAGTGCCCTGAGTTGCCTTAGCATGCTCGGTTAGTTAAGAACCTCCCTACCCAGAGAAGGAGGTGCTGGGGGAGGAGGAGGAGGAGGCAGTAGTGGAGAAGTAAGCAACTCAGGGTGTTACCGCTGTGGCAACTTTGCTTGCATCTCCGAGGCTTTAATGTTGGGAGAGGCAACGAGGGCTGGAAGAGCCGAGAACTGCGCACGGCTCTGTCTCCCTTTCCTTGCCTGCCTGCACTGGGCACGGTGGGGAGGGGGGAGGAAAGAGAGAGAGGCGGGAGTAATTCAAAACTAGAGAACTAATGGGGAGAGCTAACAGTGGGAGCTGGGGGAGGCGACTGTTGTTGCCGCCGCCCACCCTGTGTGGGAGCTGGTTGGCACGTGCATCTCAGGGACCTGACTCCAGGGTCCCTCGTAGAGCCGGGAGGCACGAGAACTGCAAGTGGGAGCATTTGGTGATTTCTAAGAACTCCTGGAACACAGTAAATTGGCGTTTTGTAAGTCTCGGTAAAAGAGTGAGCTTTGTTTTGCCTCCTTTCCTCCCCTGGTAATGCGAGAGATGCTTTCTCTCTCTCTCTCTCTCTCCCCCCTCCCCCACCCCCAAATAACCACTGGCTGTGGCTGGGTTTGGCAGCGAAGTGTAAAGCGAGCGAAGTGCCCCCAGGGACCCCTTTCCTTGCCTGTCTCCAGGTGAGGCTGGAAGAGCCCAGCTTTTCTTCGGCTGCAGATCTGAGCCTCTCAATCCTCCACCCGGGGATCTGAAAGGAGCTCCCACTTTCTGCCCCTCCCCTCCCCCCAATTAATCACTGAGGGCGGCAGTCCTTCTGTAGGCAGATGCCTGCTGAGAAGCCCCTGGAGTGGCAGCCAAGGGGCGCTGCCCCCCAAGGAGAGCAAAGCCCCCTTTCTGCCTCTGCTTCTCCCAGAGGCAGTTGCCCCGAGGCCCCACAGCTCAGACACACACACACACACACACCCCTCCTGCTCTTCTGTTTCTTTGGAAGGTGCCAGGTGTGGGGAGGCTTCCAGCCTGGAACGTTTTATTTTGTTATCATTGAGCATTTACATTTTTGTTATAATTAAATAAGTGTGTGTGTGTGTGTGTGTATAATTAAATTTATATTTAACATAAAAAATTATGTTAAATATATTAGCTTTTTATAAATAAAAAAAAACCGTATTAGTGGTCCTGGGGATTTAGAAGTATGAGTTTGGTGGTCCCTGAGGTCCAAAAGGTTGGTAACCCCTGATGTAGAGAGCAAATGCAACCCAACAGGCGGGGCACTGCGTTATAAGTTGCAAGACTATTATTTGAATTTTCATCTAGATGTAAACATCAACTGACAGCCCAGAAAGCATAATTAAGACTAATTTGCTTTGAAAATAGAATATTTGCCATTTAAGCCCTTTTTTACAAGAAAAACATTGGATGAAAAAAGGCTTTCTGTTTGCAAAGTAAACAACTAGCTCCTAACCCTAACATATACATGCACATACACAAACACATTCAACTTCAACACTATTTTCCAGTTTCATAGTGAAACGTTTCAAATCTTTGACACACCTAATATTTAGCACAGAGCTTAAAATTAAACATTTTAGGAAAAATGCACGTATAAAATGTTGGCCAACCAAAGCTTCATAGAGTGGTTGGGTCTACCTGGCATGGGAAAGAAGAATCAACAACCATTCCAAACAACCAACAACCGTTTTTTCGGGGAACTATACTAATCATACAGGATTGCAGACATGATTCTCACCTGAAACTCGACAATCACAGTTTTGTCCATCCTGTGCATGTTGTAATCCATAGAAAAGACACGATAGCGCACTAAGAAAAAAGAGACTAACTGTAATTTGTGGCAGTATTCAGAAGGTATGTGCTTGCATCATGCTGGCCAGTGACAAAAATAAAAAGATTGATTGATTGATGTGTTTGCATCATCATCAACAAAACGTATTTTCATAAATTGTATGATATTTTGCAGCTGTCAACCATCCACATGGTTTATGCAGCAAATAAACACTCCTGGGACATTTTTATTACCAAGAGTATAATTTACTGAGCCAACATGGATACAGAAGTAGCAAAGCCAACATTAACATTTTCATGTGCAAACAGCATAGTTAAATGTTCCCCTTTATTCCATCCAATCAATATGGTCAGTTCAGTTCAGTTTGTTTGGGTGATGGATTCTCCGCCTAGCAGACTTTCTCAGCAGATGACATTGGTTCTCAGGCTCCAATTCTGTGCTCTTTGCATTCTTCCCCCCACCCCATTATGCCCCCATTATGCCTCCCCTGCATTCCAATCTATTCCCCTCCCCCCCCCATTCTTCTTGTCTGGCTGTAAGCGGGGTTTGCAAAGTGAGCCAAGCCTCAGCCATGACAGCAGCTGTCTGCCAGACTCACTGTAAATCCTAAAAGGGATGTGGGACAGTTTCTAGAAAAAAAAACTGATTAGTCCATTTGGCCAAAACAGCAGCATCCTCAGGTTCTTTAAAGGCCAATGGGTTTATTACGGCATAAATGTTTCTAGATTACTTCAGCCTGAATCTTCTGTATCTGAGACAAAAGCACCACATAATTCTTCAAAAAATATTTTAGAAAAGGCCTTTCTTGAAAAGACATTCATGATGACAAATTTTCTTCTTCTCTTAAAGAAGCATAATAAGAATTGGGGTGGGGTTTTTTTTTTTTGAAAAAAGATCACTCACATAACCCTCAAGGTGTTCCCCCTTTTATGACTCGCAATTAATCAGGGTGACATCTTATTGGACTTCTCCATTCCCTAGTGGTTACATTCCACTGAATCAGCCGTGGGATTCTACCTGTTCCGCTACTGGTTGAGCGACCATGCGTGTGCCCCTAACGTGCACATGCAGCTTTCCCTACACCAGCTGAGGACTGCAGCACCAATCAGGTGAGAGGATAGAGAAGGTAAAAGCGCAGGTGTGGGTGGGAGGGCTGATCCTGCGCTTTTCTCTTCTTTCTTCTCTCAGCTGATCTTTGGAAGCTTTTTTTCCCTCCTGTCAGCTGATCACGGGAGGCTTTTTTTATTAGCGGTTCGGGTGAACCGGTCCGAACTGGTAGAATACCACCACTGCACTGGACCATCTATCCATGTGTTTCTTAAATCTTTCCTGAAGTTTCTAAGCTTGATTTCTCAA